CTTTCTCAGGACGGTGCACCTGGTTGAAGAAGGGAGAGAAATGTATTTGCTGGCTTCCACTGGCTAAATATTTGCTTTGTGTGGTGTTATTTCTCCTGCACTTCCAGGTTGCTCGGGCTGAGTGGATTAGGCAGTGTGTCAGAGGTCAGCATCCGCAGGGAGGCCCTGGGTAGGAAGGGAGAGGTGCTCAGTGTGGGTAACGGGCAAGGGGCTGTGATGGGGACGGGGACTCTGTGTGTCTAGAAGTTCCCACCAAATGGGAAAGGGAGCCCACGTTTTTATCCTGTCAGCCACTGGTTGAGAGCAGCTGGGGGGTCAGCACTGATTCCCTAGCACTTCCAGTCCGCTATGCTGTGGGCAGAGCAGGCTCCAGCAGCCAGAGAAAGTGTTCAGGTGAAGGGAAGCAGTTGCTGGCAGCTGGATGACCTCGCCTATGGTGCACATAAATGATGGAGGCAGAGGGTAGGGACGGGTATTGGCAGTGGCACCTAAGAGGTGTTTGACACACCCTCCCTCCTTTTTTTTTTCTTGTCCTCTTCCCACTAGGATTGTCAGATTTTCAAATTCATCTCTCATGCAGAACAAATCAGCTCTTAGCAGCCCTTGGTCTCTCTCGGCATAGCCAGACACATCAAGGTGCTCATCAGAACAAAAGCATCCTCCGTGGAAAGCACTTGTGGGATTACACTGTCATTGTTTTCTCTTGTTTACCCAAAGGGCAGCCCTTTTCTCTGGATATTCCAGTTAATTCTTTTCTAGTCAGCTAGTTAGGTCTATTCTGCTTTTTCTGCTCCTGAAAGCAGATGAAGATGCAAGCTTTGATGTCTCCTGTGAACTTTCTCTCCACAGTTCCTCAAGGGAGGTGGTATCCCCACGTCTCGAGGAAACAGGTTCAGAAAGACACGCGCTATGTTCTTTGTAACTTCTTCCTAAACCACAACCTGGGATGCTTCTCACTGATTTTTGTGCCCCTTCCAGCTGCTTGAGACAGTCTGGAGAATGCTTTTGGAGACTGAGTTTACTGGGACGCTTGGGTGGTTTATAGGAAAATGGAACAGCCCGTTAATTTAGTTGAGTCCTTCAAGAGCTGGGACATAGATCCCCCCACCTCCACACGTCCCGATCTCGTAGACTGTACTGAAGCCATGGTAAACAATTTAGACCAGCTCCAATATGACACAAAGCTTCCTCTTGGCTATTTCTACAACTTCATATTGAATAGAAGGAAATCGCTTAAACCCTCAAAACACAGTCTGGCAGGAGGCGAAATGTCTTGCTTGGCATCCTGCCCCCATCCCTCCCACACCGGCAGCTGGGACCATTTGGTCCCCCTTCAGCTCCCAGGCCGGATGCCCTCCCTGTCCTCCATCAGTCTTGAGTTCACAGTTCCCACCTCCAGGCCCAACTTTAAAAATGAGAGCCCTGATTGCCTAGGAACATGGTCTGGCTTCCCAGGTGAAATAGGTACAAAATTAACAATATTAACATGCATCCATTTCCAGTCATTTGTAGGAAAGAAATGTGCTCTGGGGACTTATATCTTTAGATTCTAGTGAATTAGCTGTTATCAGATACTTACACAGAACCAACAAAATATGAAATGTGCACATACGACTTCCCTGTCAGAATAATAAAGGAAACTGCTGCTTTATGCATATGTATCTTGGACTGAAAAATTGGACCACAATCAAGCCTACCAATCAAAATACAGCTATCCTTTCATCCATCAGGTAACATGCATAACTGAGGGGGACGAGGTTTTTTCATCATGGCATTTTAGTTTTCATTTTTTCAATGTAGGTATTCTTAATTTGTATATTAAACATGTAGAAATACGTTCTTCCACATCTTTCTTGAAACATGCTCCCCTTCTCTATCTATATATGTTTTCCCCCCATTTTTAACTGAGATATGAATGCTCAATCTATTCCACTTTTCTCTTTCTTATAAGAAAAGGCAGAGTGCATATGTGATGAGAAATGGCAAATGATTCTTAGGCTTGGTGTTGGGGAGCAATAGGGATGGTAGGGATCATGGCAAACTGGAGAACATGGCCTTGACTGAAGGCAGCCACCCGCTTTTCATGCAAATCAATCACTGGCACAGGGAATGCAAGCCCCATGTTGCCAGGTTTTCCAAAAATTTAAAAAGAAGCCAGAATTCTGGATTTTAATGTAAAATCAACTAATTATCAAATATATTGCTAACTAATTTAATTTGGAGGTTGACACAGGCAGGCTGGACAAAACATATCTGTGGGACAAATTGAGCCCATGGCCACCAGTTCACAACCTGTGGTTTTAAGCATCAAATAGAACAATAGAACTATTATATAATCATAGTTGATGTGGCTCTTTCGAAGCAATATAGAATTCTAGTTCTTTTTTTTTTAATATCTTTATTGGAGTATAATTGCTTTACAATTGTGTGTTAGTTTCTGCTGTATAACAAAGTGAATCAGTATACATATACGTATCTCCTATAGTTCTAAGAAAATCAATTACATTCCCAGTTGATGTGGTACTTTATAAGCAATAAAAGATATAGAACTAATAAGGCAAATTCCTTATGGTTAGTAATTCATAATAAAATAAGGTATGTCCAGCACAGCATGGCTGCAAGTGGGAGAAGAATTCATATTCACAGAGTAAGAAAGAAGCCTAACCGTTTTGTTAGAATACACTTTGCCTTTTGTGTTAGCTTCATGTGGGGCCATTGTAGCTCTAGAGCTGCTTTGGCTGCTTTCCCCCTCCCTCCTATTTGCACACCCCCTGCCCCCTGCAAACCCTCCATAGACCCCAGAGTCTGGGTTAACTTCACTACCTGGCTGAAGCCTCTCCTGCCTTCTCCAGACCATGCTGATTTTTCTTTCTTTTTTGAAGACTGTGTGCATTAATCCCAGAGCTGACCCCTCACATCTGTACAGCGCTTTACAGTGGACAGAGCATTGTGGCATCCAAGTGATTTCATTGACGCTCCAGCCACCCACCCACAGCAGGATCATTATGTCCATTTTATAGATGAAGAAATAAAAAGTCACACAAGGTTTTGCCCAACTTCACTCTGCAGCTAGGGCCAGAACTGGACTGGAATCCAGGCTCCTGACCCCAGGCCAGAGTTCCCTCTGGAGCCCTCACTGCCCATGCTGGCATTAACCCCTTCATGCATGAGTGCACCACATCTCCAGTGCAATTTTGCTTTCAAGGGTGGGGAAATAGGTGTAATCCTCTTGTTCACAGACAGGTAGTGTGATGGAGTGGTGAAGAGCATGGGTGTTGGTGCCTGTCATGCACTAGCTTGGGCACATTTTAAACCTCAGCTTCCTCATCTATGAAATAAGGATCATTGAAGTCTCACCTATCCAGGGCTGTTGCGGGGATTGATTGTTATGAGTAAAGCATTTAGCACAGGGCAAGGACACAATCAGCACTCAATAAATGTTAGCTACGATGTCCATCCCCATCCCATCTCTGCAGGGCTAACTCAGATTACCTTTTCACTTGGCAGGTGGTAACTTGCCATCTAGAAAGGAAAACCAGGAACTGACCACAGAGCGACAGCCCACTGTGGCTACTTGGTGCACCAGGAAGAGATGCCCCTGGGCCTGCCTGGCTTCAGAACTCTCCAGGTCTCAGCTGATCTCAGTGGTGCCTCACCTCCCCCAGATATCTGGGCCTGGTGGTAATCATAATAATAAAAAGCCACTGGGCTTCCCTGGTGGCACAGTGGGTGGGAGTCCGCCTGCCGATGCAGGGGACATGGGTTCGTGCCCCGGTCCAGGAAGATCCCACATGCCGCGGAGCGGCTGGGCCCGTGAGCCATGGCCACTGAGCCTGCGCGTCCGGAGCCTGTGCTCCGCAACGGGAGAGGCCACAACAGTGAGAGGCCCGCGTGTCGCAAAAAAAAAAAAAAAAAAAAAGCCACGATTTGAGGGTTTAGCCAGTGCCAGGCCCTGCGCTAAGATCTGTAGAGGTGGAATAGTCTGCCCCCTGCTCCCTCCCCGCCAACCATGCACACTACCCATGTGTGCTTCTGGAGGCTGAGACTGGTTCTTCCGTCCCCGGTCATCACAGTGCCTGGAGCGGTATCTCACCTAAGAATTGTGTTCCTTCATTCGTCCCCTGTTTATTGGCATCTCCTACTGCCAGGTACTATTTTAGACAGAGAACAAAACAAATATAAATTCTTGCCCTTCTGGAGCTTACATTCTGGTGGTGGAGGATGGTGGCGCCGGCAAGGTATAAAGAGGAAAACCTTGCAGTAGTAGATAAATTTTAATTTTTTATTAGGTTCTATTTGCTGCGTTTATTTACATGAATCACTTATGCCGCCCCAAGGGGGCCATTCCTGGGCATTCAAGGGGGTTGTGTGTCAAGCGTGCAGGGCGGGGCACAGCATTCAGGAGCCCAATCCAGCTGTGTGAATTTGGGACATTCACTGCGTCTCTCTGAGCCTCAGTTTCTTCGTTGTCATTTAGGGAAATCAGAGCGATTCCAGCCTTCCTGGGCTGGTGAGAGGATTTCATTGGCCCGTAAAGAGAGTGCTTTGTCTGCAGGGCAGCCCGGACAGGGACAGACGTGAGGGCCGGAGGGAGCTGCCCTCTGACCCACAAGAGCGCGGGCGCGGGGCTTTTCTCAGTTACACAAGGCCACCCGGGTGGAAGCCACGGCTGGGGGCCGCGAATCTGTCGAGGGGGTGAGGGGCGTGGGGAGGTGGTCAGCGCGGCCAAGAGCCACGGGACGTGAGTGCGCCGCTGCGGCACTGCCCGAGGTGGGGCGCGGCGCGGCGCACAGGGGACCGCAGGGCGCGGCAGAGTCGGGTTTCAGAGCGCGGGTGACTCAGGGCGCGGGCCGGATCCTGCCCGCCGCTGCCGTTGCCGCTGCCCCTGCCCAGCGCCGCCTTTGTTCCCGGCAGGAAGGGCGAGCGGCCCGCGCGCAGAGCCCGTCGCCGTCCGTGGAGCTCGGCGGCCCGGTGCCCTCGGAGGCTCGCGGAACTGCGGGATGGCGCAAAGGTAAGACTCGCTGCCCCGCGCCCCGGCTCCCCCTGGCCCCTCCCGGCCGCCTCACTTTCTCTCTCTCCGCCACTTCTTGCAGGAGGGACACGCAGTGTTGGCGCCTGCTGTGGCTGCTTTCCACCTCCGTGCTTCTCCCCGCTGTCACCCGGACCCGCTCCGCGACAGGTAAGCGGCCCGGCCCGAGGGTGGCACCGGCTACCTCCGCACCCGGGGGAAGTTGGTTTTGGCTGCGGGCGCGGCTGCGGTGCGCGCCTCATTCCTGGACATAAAAGGGAGTCCTCGCCTCTCGGTGCGCACTGGTGGTTCTGCCACGGCTTCCCCGGGCGCTGCCGGGGGTTCGAGAGGCGAATGGGAGTCTCTGGGCGGCCGGAGCGGGTGGAGCGCTGTTCGGGCACCCGAGGTGTCTGAGCTAGGCGCAGCCCTTCCAATCTTGGGCAGAGGGGGACTTTGGAAGCCCAGTGACAGCGCCAGCGGCTCCGCGGGGACAGTTAGCTCCAGCTCACCCAGGGCCCGCGCTCAGGTCGCGCGTGCTGGCTGGCTCATTGTAAGGGCAGAGCTGGTGCCCTCTCTGTACACAGGTGCGGAAGCACGACTGCCAGCTGAGACACCTGGCGCTTTGCCGCGCAAGAAATAACGGGACCGAATTGCCTTGATGCCTAACTTAGCCCTGAGTTACCTGGAGAGTCCCATCCATCGTGGGCAGTAGCTCCACGCGTGATGGGAAGAGCTATGGACTGGGGACCAGGGGATCTGGTACCTTCTGTTCCCAGGCCTCACTTTCCCCACCAGGACCCAGAGGTGGTTGCATGACTAGTAGAGTCTGAGTTAAAAACAGTTTTGAGTTAAAGTGTGTTCAGGCTTCCTGGGCTTGAATTGTGGCTGTGTTAGGTGCCATTGGACAATGAATTTCACCACTCTTTGCCTCAGTTTCCCCATCCGAAAAAGGGGAATACTTAGACGACCTTTCCTCCTAGGAATGCTGTGAAGATTAAAAGAGATATTAGAAATAATATGCTTTCCACACCATGGCACATACTGGGCACAAAGTAAGTGATCGAAGCTACAGGTTGATCCTTGCAATAGCTGTGTTGGAAAGCAATGCAGACATTTTTACAGAAGAGGACACTCAGGGTGAGAGAGGCCTAGGAACTGGCCTGTGCAAAAGGCAGGGCTTGGGTGCCAAGGTCTCTAGACTCTGGTCCTTCCCTGCTCAGCCCTTTCTCCATGCAGTTTTGCAGGAAAGCTACCACTCTCCAATTAGCAGCCTCGGACTGCTTTTGGATTTAGGAGATTAGTACACAGTCTCCATAGAATAAGTGTGCTGGGAAACAGGGTCTGGGGTGGGGTGGGGGGGAATGAACACAACCTCTGTCTCTGTGAAGGACTGTTGGGTGGCCATGGTTAACTCTTTGTGTGCTGAAGGAAGCCTGGGACAGCCCAGATCCTTGCCTCCTTGGGAGCAAGACTCAAACACAATGACAACTTTTCCTGCCAGAACATCCAGCCTGGCATTTCTTGCAGACCAAAGGGCAGCTGGAGCACAGTTTTGGCTTCTCAGCACCGTGGCCCGTGTCGGAACGTTGCAGTTTTGCGTGTAATATAAGGCACTGCCAACTCAGCAGCAGAGGGCAGCTTCAGGTTCTGTGGTCTCTGCTGCGACCCCACCCCCGAAATGAAGAAGGTCTGGGGAGAGAAAATTTGGTGTTTCTTTCTCCTCCTGCGTTTGTAGGCTGGCTCTCTGGACGCCAGGTCAGGGCTGTTTTTCTAACACAGAGGAAGTCCTGTGCCTATCCTTAATGTAAAAAGGGAATGCCAGGAAACCCTCAGGGGAAGAATGGATGATTGTAGTGTTTTGATTACTGGCTAAACTTTTGGTTTTCTCTACAGTTAGGAATACCCATTACTGATGGATATTCAGTGTCCCTCGAGGGGAGAATCTTCCTAGACCTGAAATATCCTCCTGCAACCTAAATCTGGCATGAAGTTTAATAAGGCTGACACTTGTAAACCACTTCATATGTGTGATATGTTCATCCTTCATTCACTCAATTATCACAATCACTCCAGGAGCTGGGTACTGGGACTGTGCTTCAGATGAGGAAACGTGGTCCAGAGACCCCAGGCTTCTCAGCTCCTGAGGGTTTTCTGGCTCACCCTCACCTTGTCAGTTGGCCCCTTATCCCTCGCATCAATCCTTGTGCCCCTAGTGGGTGAGGGCTGAGCTGGTAAAGTTACAGTGTCACTGGAATGCCTGGTCTTTTAGAAGATAAGGAAGTTGTTGTGAGACAGGGGCAGTGGTGTCATAACTAATTTGTTCCTGATTACAAAATGTTAATATGTGCAAATGATCTACTTTTCTTTAAACTGTTTTATTGTGAAATATAACATCTATTCCGAAGAGTGAGCGCAAAAATACAGTCCCATGATTTCTCACAAAGCAAACTTTCATGTAAGTGGGTCAAGAAATGGAATAGCCCCCAGAAGCTCTCCTGTGCCCCTTGGCTGTGATTTTTCCCTCCCTCCCCTCAGAGGTAACCATCCCCTTGACTTTTATGGTGATTCCTTCCTTCCTTTTAGAAAATAACGTTAGTACCTAAGCATGGATCCCCAAATTCTGAAGTTCAGTTTTTCTTTTTTTTTGAGCTTTATACATGTGGGGTGTCTCCTTTGGTGTCTGGCTTCTTTCCCTGAATATTAACTTTTGAGATTCATTTATGCTGTTGCATTTCACTGTAGTTAATTCATCTTCCTTTCTGTACAGTATCCCACTGTATTAATTTACTGTCCATTATTTATCCATTTTTTTCCAATGACATTTGGGTGGTTTCCATTTGGGGCTAATATTGTAGCGTGTCTCTGACATGCTGTTTGTCCACGTCTCTTTGTGCACATGTGCACACATTTCCCTTGGTTGTACACATGGAAGTGCGGTGCTGGCTGACAGGGTAGGCAGGCCCTCCAAATGAACAATGGCAGCACGGCTTCCACTATGGTTGTGCCAGGGCTCACGGCCGTCAAGCTGGTAGGAGAGCCTCTGTTTCTTCACCTCCTCACCAGCACTTGGTGTTGTCAGTGGGCTTAACTCCAGCAGTTCTAATGGGTGCACATTAGAATCTTACTGTCGTCTTAATATATGTTTTCCTGATTATTAAGTCGATTACCTTTTCGTATACGTATTGGACATTTGGATATCTTGATATACTTTTTAAATCGAGGTGAAATTCACGTAACATAAAACTAGCCATTTTCATAATGACAATTCAGTGGCATTTAGTACATTTTCAATGCTGTGCAGCCATCATCTCTAGTTCCAAAACCTTTTCATCACTCCAAAGAAAACCTCATTCCCATCAAGCAGTCCCTCCCCATTCCCCCCATCCCCACTCCACCAGCCTGGGGCAACCATGAAACTGCTTTCTGTCTCTATGGATTTGCCTGTCTTGGATATTTCATATAAATGGAATCATACAATATGTGACCTTTTGCATCTGATTTCTTTCACTTAGCATAATGTTTGTGAGGTTCATCCATGTTGGAGCATGTATTAGGACTTCACTTTTTTATGGCCAAATAATAGTCTGTCGTTTACTGCAATTTGTTTATCCATTCTTCCATTGATGGAGACTTTTGGGCTGTTTCCTCCTTTTGGCTATTATGATTAGTGCTTTTATGACATTTGGGTACGTGGATTTGAGTACTTGTTTTCAATTATTTCAGTTGTATACCTAGCAGTGGAATTGTGGGATTATATCATAATTCCATGCTTAAATTGTGGGAAACTCCTAAACTATTCTCCACAGTGGCTGAACCATTTCACATTCCCACCAGCAGTGTACAAGGGTTCCAGTTTTTTCATGTCCTTGCCAACACTTGTTATTTTCTACTTTTCAGATTACAGCCATCTTAGTGGGTATGAAGTGGTATCTCACTGTGGTTTTGATTTGTATTTCCTGAATGACCAATGATGTTGAGCATCTCTTCATGTGCTTCTGCACCATTTGGGGGAAACTCTGAATACCAGTCAGAGCAGGTTCAGGTTTTCCCTCTAATCATCTCCTTCTTGCTGGTGTCCAGCTGATGTGCTTTCACGAGTGAGAGAGAAGGGGGTAAGAGTCATACCTAAGATTTTACATCACTGGCCTCCCGCCTTACCTGTGCCCCAGCCTGTCATGAGCTCATGTTGCTCACATACCATTAGAAGTTGTGATGAATATGAATGATTGTAGTGTTTTAATTACTGGCTAAATTTCTGTTTTTCTCTAAAGTTAGGAATGCCTGTAGTGGCATAATGTCCTGCCATTATATGTTTTACAGCAGAGTTAAGGCTGAAAACCCCTGGCACACTGAACCACACACAGCTCCTCATGTATATTTGGGATTTTGCAGTCTCCTTGACTTTGTACGAGGTGTGATGAATCTCCTTGTCTAAAATACACTCCCTCGCCTTGTTTCTCTTCAGGGCCTAATTCTACCTCCCAGCTCAAATGGCACCTCTTCCAGGGTGCCTTCCCTGGATCTCCCCAGCTAAGCTTTCTCATCACTAAACTGCCACACCCCTTCACCTGTCTCTCCAGGCACCAGCCACTGTCCCCCTGTACTGACAGTGTGTTTATTTCTCTCTCCTTCCTATGAGAGTACCTTGAGGGTGTGGATCATCACTCATTCATCCAGAGTTGGCCACGTGGACTTTGGCCATTTTGTCATTATGATAAATAGTGCTGCTGGGAACATCTTCAGACAAATGGCCTTTGTTTTCTTTTGGGATTATTTCCTTTGACTAGATTCCCTCAAACAGATTTGCCCATCAAATAACAGAACTAGTTGGATAGTTCTTATTATCTATTTAGATGGATCTTTCTGAGATACAAATTGAATCACGCCACTCCTTAGTTTAATTGCTCTCTCTGGGTTCTCCATGTACCTAGGATGGAGTCATGCTCCTTGCCCCCAAGTACCCCTTGTGGTCTGGCCTCCGCCTACCTCCTGTTCTCTACTCACACGATGTCCCTCTTGACTTGGGCTCACACCAGCTGCTCGCTGGCAGGTTTCTGGATGAGATATTCACTGTCCCACCTCTGTGTCTTTGCATGGGCCAGTCCCTTCTTGAGAATGCCTTTCCCCTTTTTCACCTGGCATCCCCTCATTCATCCTTTAAGATTCCTCTC